CTTGGATTTGTCGGCTTCTCATCTTAGGGCTGTTAACACCCATCATGGCTCAGAGCACAGTGTGGAGGCGTCAGGAGAGCGACAGCAGATAGAAATATGATTAATGACATATGGCCAAGGTCAGCAACCCCCTTAGGAACAGACACAGGCAGCCAATCCAAAAACCAACAGGCTGCAAGTGAGACTTCTCTTTCCTATGCCTCGTCATCTCAGTTTCACAGCAGGCAGATTCCTGGGCCGGAACAGACAGCCCTGTTTACAGAGCAGGAAGTCCTCCCCACTGTGATCTAGGATTGAGAAGACCATGAAAGCATATATTTTCTGGTTTGGGCCTACTTTAGGTAGACTACATGGGTCAGATTCCAGAGGATGTAAATTGGTGACTCTCTGAGCTTCACTGATTTATAGCAGCTGAGGCACTGGCCTAATAATCAAACAAGTTTGTTATTTGCTATTTAACTCTGCCTTGAAGTCTGCTGACTTTGTTCCCCTTTTAAAAAAAACAACCAAAAAACCTGAGCAGACAAAAAGAACACCATAACAAGACAAATAGAGTAACAATAGTCACTGGATAATAACATTTTCTCTTCAAGGATCACACACAGCTTTGCAAACACTAATCAATTATGCCTAACCACACACCCATTTGACAGATGGGAAAACTGAGGCACAGAGAATCTAAGTGACTTGTCAAAGGTCATAGAGTGAGTCAATGTCAGAGATCAATTAGAGCCCAGGTGTTTTGATTCTTAGTCCTGTGCTCTATCTATGCTACCTCAAAAATTAAGTGTTCAAACGTAATTGTCTGACTCACATTAAAGATGAACACCTCACAGCACACTCCCTTGAAAATTTACAACCCCAAATTTTAAATGAGATGTTGCACTGTGAAAAGAATAGTACACCTGTGGGGAAAGTACCTTCACACCATCATAAAAGGATTCCCATGGAAATGGAGTTTTAAACAGCTCTCACCTTCCATCCAGAAATAGCTGCAGTGCAATGGGAGGTGAAGTGATTTCTCTATGTAAAATGGTTTAGAATCTTTCTGATGAGTGGTGTGATCATAAATAGATATTAACCACATTAGTAACACTCAAATTAGGTTGGTACATGGGGGTCTGGCATACCAGCATTTCTGTCAAGCTGCCTTCTTATTCTTAAGAATCTCAGCTTTGATTAAAAAACTTAAATCCATTGCTGAAATAGTTAACTCAAGTGACCCATGTGTAACTGGTCCAGAGACACCTGTTGAAGTCTGCAGAGAGCCTGAAACAATAGCTCAGAAGTCTGAACAGCCCCATCACCTCTGTGAAATACTAATTGAGATGCTCAATGCTGATAATTTAAATAACAACATTGTTTACTAATTCACTGCTCATCAAAGCACGTAAGAAAGGAGAACCATGGCCAATAGGAGCTGCGGGGGGGCCGTGCCTGTGGACGGTCAACGTAAACAAACTGTCTCACGGCTCGCCAGTGGATTACCCTGATGGGCCACGTGCCGAAAGTTGCCGACCCCTGCCCTAGCCTCTCATTCCTTAGACCACAATTGCTTTGGGCTGCTCTGCATTGCCACGTGGGAGACTGGTTTGTGGGGGATGGGATATGAAAGTTGGGATGTCTTCTATGTATACACTGTAAATATACCAGGAGTGTCTTCTCATACACATGAAAGACAAATAGATATTCTAAACAATGACATGCATACTACTTATCAGTACAGGGCAATCAGAAGTGTTTTTCTAAATCAATTATTTGGCAGCACAGTATAACTTGTGACATCAGTAAAGATTTAAACTCGGAACCATTACAAAGACACTGTGGTGTTTTTATAACATGAGTTCTCTATTCATACAACTGCAAATAAAACCACCAGATGCAAAAAAAAGTCTTACTTATAAACACACAGGGCCAGATCGTGAACCACTAACTCGCATGGATGAGCAGTTACTCACCCAGGGAGTCTCCTTTATTTCACTTGGACTTCTCATCAGCGGCGGCTCCAGGCACCAGCGCTCCAAGCGTGTGCCTGGGGCGGCAAGCTGCGGGGGGCGCCCTGCCGGTCCCTGCAAGGGCGGCAGTCAGGCAGCCTGCGGCGGCTTGCCTGCAGGAGGTCCGCCGGTCCTGCGGATTCGGCAGCAATTCGGCGGCGGGTACGCTGAAGCCGTGGGACCGGCAGACCTCCCGCAGGCAAGCCACCGAAGGCTGCCTGCCGTGCTTGGGGCGGCAAAAAAGCTAGAGCTGCCCCTGCTTCTCATGCAATTAACTGCTCCCCAATGGTACTACAGGGTTCACATACTGGCCTTAGGGGCCAAATCCTAGTGGAGAAGGGGGCAACAGTTCTCAAGCAAATGAAAAGGAGAGTGCCCAGCTATTGCACTGGCTAGTGCACCAAGGCTACAAGAGGGTTTTGTTTGCCAGCCCTGGGGGCATGGCCAGGTCCCCCGTCAGCTAACAAACATAATGCCATCTGCAGCATTAGCTAACCGGGGCACATACAGCCTCTTTTCAGAAGAGTAGGAATGTGTGTTCCATATTGTGACTTGGCTGCTTGCTCTGTCCTATCCTGTCTGCATTGCCAGGGTGACTCATGTCACTAATGTGTAGCCAGCACCATTCCACTTGCCTCCTATACCCGTCGCTGTGGTGTCTATCTGTAGAAGCATGATTTCACCCTACAGCATTATTAGACAGTTCAGTCTTCTGTTCCGAAGCCTGATCTTGTCATAGAAGAGAAACTGATTAAGTGACAAATAACATAGTGTCACAGAAAATGGTTACTCTCTAGAGTGGAGACTAGTTAACAGAAGTTCCCCAAGTGGCCAGTATTGGAACCAATGCTATCTAAGATTCTCTGTTCGTTAATCATTTTGAAGAAGAAACAGACAGCAAGTTAGTAAATGTTGCTAATGACATTTCATTGTTTCATTCATGGACAACAGTGACAACCTCCAGAGGGACTTACATACATTATGGGACAAACTGAGACAAGCACCTACAAAACTCATCCTTGTATAGTTGAGCCAGCTAAAGGCAATGAGACACAGAAAACTGAGTGCAGTCTGCAGATGTGTTAGCTTTTAGTTCTCAGCTTCCCCAGGGCATCACAGATTTGCCCCACGTAAATGGAATTTGTTAGCTCACATTTCGATTGCCTACCTTGGAATTAGCAAACTTAGTCAAGGGCTGAAGTCTGATTCATTCTGAAATTCTGGTAACAAAAAAGAGTTAATCTCATGCTCAAAAACTGTAGTGGAGACGGCTATTCTCTGCTGACTCTCAGAACAGATACAAAACAGGAAGCAGCAGTACAAGGGTTTCATCAAACTGCCTTGTTAATGTGCCTTAACCTTTTCCTGAAGGGACCACCTACAGGTGAGACTCTATGGACCAGATCCAATGCCTACTGAAGTCAATAGAAAGCCTTCTCTTACCTTCAGTGGGTTTTGTATCAAGCACTGTGTCAATTTAATCCTTGGTATTTTTGCTGAGACTTCATATAAAGGTGCTAATTGAATCCCAGTTGTGATTTTTTTTTTAATGTGGACAACTTTGCACTGAGAATTACGGTTAGATCTCCAGACCCATTTCAAATATTATAGGCCACTGAGCAGCTATCACCAATATTTGGTCATTAACAACCTGAGCCAGATTCTAACCTAAGAAGTTCTTGAGCCTAAATTCTCAAACTTGAGAACAGGCCCCATTTAGGTGTCTAAATAAAAGTTATCTGATTTTTAGAGAGATGGAGCACCCAGAGCTCCTATTTACTCCACCAGGTCTAATTTGCTTAAGTAAAGTGAATAGGATTTGGCCATTGGCGTTAATTAACAACGTGCACTTTTGCAAAATCAAGAGCTTTGGTGATACAATTATCAATCCTAGAGCTTGCCCTGGAGAAGCCCACCAGCCTCTGATACTAATCTTACTTTGTTGCTCAAACAAATCATTTCAGTGTCAACATGTTGCCTGTATATGGTCTCAAAGGTGATTGTCTTTTGGATTTTGCTTGTTTGGTCAGAGGGGGAATATGGCAAACCTTTTCCTCCTTGAGAGCTATTGATTTCATCAGCAATTAGGGCAATAATACACTCCAATGGAAATATTTCACTGCCCCCCTTCCAAAATCAAGCAGTTGATAATGCACATTTTAGTAATAAATGCTAAGAACAATGCTAGTGTCCTTTAACTGTGTAACTGTCTGAAGGGTTCCAGCCCTGACATTTCCAGACTATGGGACTTGTAAAGATAGGTGTTAGGTGTCTGAGAAGTGAATATGCAGTCTGTGCTGATAAAGGAGGGGGTGGGAAGATGTGGATAATGTAGGGATATATACGAAACTGCTGCTGTCATGTAACCATTCCTCTTTCAGCAGCTCTGATTAGTAGAGTCATTTAGTGAATTCCCCGTTACTTTGCACAAAGATGTCCTGAACTCCAGAGAACAAAAATAACAGAGAATTCCCTGAGAAGAAAAGTCTTAAGGCTTAATTTGACCCTGGCACAATCAGATGCAATTCCACTGACTTCAGAGGAGTTACAGAATGTTACATAGAATACTGTATAACAGGGTTGATTTGGCCCTTATACCATACTGTAGCTCTGCTTTGGCTAGAAACCTTTGCTTTCAAAGTAATTAACCATATGTCAACAGCCTGCAACACTGAACTGCAATTAAATAAATGAAGAGGAGACAGATGTATATTTTAACATGTATCCCTGTAGAGCACTCCCTACAGCAAATAATGGTCTTTTTTCTTTTTAAGATCAGCATTTAATGTTACTGTTACTGAAGATCTGTGGATCAATACCAATTATTTTATATGTATTTCACCCTCCCGCAACTTCCTACAAGTATACAACCATGGTAATGTATAAGAATGGTGGATGCCTCAGGATGGATCTATTTTTCCTTGCAAGAAATCTCACTGCTACAAATTTTGAAACACTCCTCCCTAGCTAAAAGCCCAGTGAGAGAGACACAGGAAAGTTGCTTACTGTTTCGGGGCTTCTCCTCATCCATGCCTTCATCTTCATTTTCTGGATCGATGTCTTCTGCTTGAGTTATCCAATCCAGGTACCCCTTCAAGTCTTCCTCCAGCTGTTGTTTCTCCCGCAACTTCTGAAAGTCACCCCGAGCCTTTGCCTTCTCTCTTTCTTTGGAAAACTCCCTGGCAAGGAGGGAGGGAGGGACAGGATGTGGGTGGGAGAGATTGAAAAACAATGGGATTAGATTGGTTTGCACTGGAAATATGACATCCCCTACCTTGGACCCTCAGCTGCCGCTATTCAAAGTCACATTAATATGTACATGGAGTGGTCCTTGTTAGATATACAGATATAACAGTTCTAGTCTCTGTAAATATGTTGGGAAGAAGCCAACTCTCAGCATTTGGTTAAGAATGTAACTGAAACTTACATATGTTTACATAAAATGTCATTCTTTTTAGGTTATAATGCTTTGCTATATGCATCTTTCCACCAGTCATTTGCGAATATCTGTTATTATTACACTAGCTTAATCCGATGATCCAAATTAAATGTCCTGCAATAATCTGACAGCTGGAGAGAGACTGCAGTGCTGATTTTTAGCCAAGTCTCAACCTGATCTCCAGAACGGAAGTGCAATTGCACCTCAATTGGTGCAACTCTGGGTATAATTAAGCACACCCACAATTCTGTTCACACATTTAATCCAGGATGAAAAACTGCAGCCACAGCACGGGATGCTGTATTTGAAAATTTAGGTCGGTGTGTTTTGCCATAGGTTTCCAGTATTAGAGATTATTACCTGCTTTTCCCTGACCAGAAGGAAGCATTTGCAAATCCAAAGTTTGGGGGATAACCATTAGGAATACAGCCAGAGAATGGATTTGGGGTGAGCATTTGGCAGCTTGATGACAAAACATTATATGGACTATGTGCTTAAATACAAGACACAGGAACAAGAATTCCATGTTGCTAATCCAAGCATTTTGGTGGGTCTTATGTGGGCTGTCCCCTACTTCCTCTGTGGACAGAGAATCCTATCCTGAATCAGCTTTGTCTGGAGGTGTTAGATACGCCTCTGGTTAGATACTGGACTTCTTCTTGCACTAGAGGAAATCAGATGAACTTGTGGCACGACTGCATTCAAGAAAGGTGGCTCTTTTTTGGGTGTTCTCACTTCATGATTTTTTTGCAGCTGCTGTCTTAACAATATTTGGGGAACCACTGATTTTCTTTTAAACTGAATGGAATCCAATTTGAATTGGATTGAACTTTCTCTTCCATAACTCTAAGCCAGTGAGATGCTTTTATTTTAAAAAGTGAGTTTAGTGGTGGTGAAATGTACTGGACTGACAGCCTCAGGGATTCAGACCTTCATTTATCCACAGAACAAGTAGAGCATGGGCTCAGACAGTGCAAGCGTCCCATACTACCCTGCCAATGTGGATCAACCTTGACTTACAGGACCTGAGCTAAATTTTGCACTGTTTCATACCATGTGTCATTTACTAGAGTGAGTGTAAAATGCAACTATTCTGAGTGGTAGCATTTTACACCCACTTTGCACAGGTGTTAAGGACTACATGAGATATAGGCAGTGGAGAATCAATCCCTCCATCTCTAGGCATAAGATGTGAGTTCATTCTCTCTGACCAGTTAATCTGTAGCCTCTTTGGTGATACTGCCAACAAAGAGTGGGGTTTTCAAATGCACTTAGCTTTGGTCTAACTCTGTCCCGATTGAAGTCTATGGGAGTTGTATCATTGACGTCAAAGGAAGCAGTTAGACCAAAGCTAAACTCTTTTGAAAGTCCCAAACATGTCAGTCAGTGCCAAGTGTGGTGTCCTCAGGTAACTCAGATGGAGCTGGGAGAGGAAGTGTTTCCCTTTCAACTAGGGTGTGATCCAAAGTCCACTGAAATCAATGGAAAGACTCCCACTGACTTCTATGCGCTTTGGATCAGGCCCTTTGTGAGGCCTGACTGTAACCTGGGCAGCAAGAGAATAAACACAGGAAAGGGTCTTCATGAATCAGACAAACATGCAGAGTTACAGTGTGTGACAAAGTACGCCTGCACGGTCCTCTTCTCTGTCATCTTGCTTGGTTTTTGCCCTGCTTCATGGGGTTGTGATAATGAAGACTTGAAAGTGGAAAGTGGAGAGTAGTTGGGCTGGGCCCTCAGTTCTGAATATAGCTTCACAATAAGTCCCGGGTTAGAGTTTTGCCCTATGGCAGAAGTGACAAATCTAGTGTTCTTTCCCTGAGAACCACAACTGTGTTGTTTGGAAATGTAAAAAAGATTGATGTTGAAAAGATCAATCAATAATAATAATGCTTTTCGCTTCTATAGCATCTCTCCTCTGAGACTCTCAAAGAGCTTTCCCGACATTAATGAATTTAATGCTCAGAAAAAACGTGAGGTAGGGAAGCAATATTAACCCTATTTTATAAATGGGTGAACTGAGGAAAAGCAAGATTAAGGCCAAACATTTCAAATTTGAGTGCTTAAAGATAAGCACCTAAATCAGTGGCCTGATTTTCAGAGGTGCTGAGCATTTGACACCAATGGAAACACACTTATTTAGGTATCTAAATATGAATTTAAGTGGCTAGATCTGGGCATACAAGTGTAAAAATGTTGATCTTTGGCATAAAGACTTGGCTCATGTCACACAAAATTACATCCCTCTGCAAAGGGCCAGCAAAAAGCCTATGCACTACTTAAATCTCACTTAAAACCTGTTAGGAACCACTTAAGTCCCAGTTACACTGAGTGGTAGCAGGACTTCAGTGGTCCCTAACAGGGCTTAAATAGTACATAGGCCTTGGGCTAGCCCACAAGTGGCAGAATAGAATCCAATAATCCCAATTCTTAGTCCACTGACCTAAATGAACAGTATTGGCACAGACTCTTCCCTCACAAAACGTAAGAGGGCTTCCCATTTCAGAAAACCTTCTAAAGAACAGGACTTAATCAAATGTGCTTAATTTCTAAGCTGTAGTAACATTAAAACTTGATGCTTGAGGGCTACATGCGTCAGGGAACTGCTGATGAAATTCAGAACAATGCATATTTAGGAAGCCAGTTAGAATCCAGGCTAATCCAGTTGTTAATGACTAACTGTTGTTACTAACTGAAAGCTATTTAGTATCCTATGTGAAATGAGCTGGTGATCTCAGCTCAGTTCCCAGGAGGCACATCACCTACACCACCATCACATTTGACACTAATTGTTTTTATTGGAAGTCTCGGCAGGGACGCCAGGACCAAAGGAGCCTGTTCATTGAACTACCATCTCAAACCTACAGGTGGTCTCCTTAGAACAACACTGAAATAGGATGGGAGAGTGGCATGGGGGAGGCTTACAGGAGTAATGACCAGTCTGTCTCTTTTCAGTGGATAGACAACATCAATTGAGGGCTGCAAATCTGGCAGTTTTTACCAGCATTCAATTTACTTCACTTTCCCCCTCTTTCTATAGAAAACTAGAAGAGAAATCTTCACTTGGGTACAACCTCAACAAATGGAGTATGTCTGGGAAGTGCCTTTCAGTGTGTGAGACTGGGCTGAGTCTTTTGTCCTGTATTATTTAGGGGAAAGCTTTTCTTCCCTGCTCTGATTATGGGATGCAGAATTATTATATTATATTATTATTATACCCCATATTTTAAAATCTCTGGTACTCAGAGCAGTGATGGAAAGCAAGCAAAACGGTGAATTTACAGCTGTTTAAAGATCTTTGTGATTGCTTTAAATCCAGCATATGGATTCGAACTCTATTTACTCTGACAGGTACAGAATATCCTGTCAGCTTGCCATATTTTTGGAGTTACTATCAGATATTGACTGAATCACAAACATGAATCTGAATACCACCATGGCTTATCGGTATGGAGGAAAGTGGAATCTGAATCTCGCAGCTAACCCATATCTCTAATGGACTGAAACAAACCCACAGATGTAAACACCCCAATCTTTGGGGGAACTGAAATCTTGAGTCAAATTTGTTGCTGTAATTATTATGTGGAATCATTTCCCCTGAACTGGTATGGTATTTTCTTTCGAAATACATCCATATTCCTTAATCCTCAGTCAAGCCAGTAGCAGGACTATAGCGATGTTTATGTATATGTATAGTACTTACTTTAGTATATAACTAGGTATAGCATATTGCTTGGCTTGTCCACAATGACTATATGGAATGAGATATCTAGGAATGACTGATTATGACTCTGATTTTTAGCCAGAGCACAATTCAACCTCCAATTTTGCAATTGCAAAAAAGTAGGTGCAATTAAGGCATTTTATAGGCACAATTAATTACACCCTAATTTAACTCTGAGCACAAAATTGTATCCACATTATTGGGAAACAATTTTTTAAAATTTAGGCCTAAATTTAGGGAGCAAGAATGTAACATCTCCCCTTTGAATGATGAAGTATAAGAAATAATTCTCTTCCTAAAAGACATGCTGGGTGTAAAATGAGATGCATAGAATGGGTTACCTGGAATGTACAGATCACCAGGAATAATGTTTTGTAATATCTATGCAGAATGGATCAATCAAAATAGGGAGTGCATGAGCAATATCTGAGTCTGAGGGGCAAAGACATTTCAGGACTCAGTACAATTCAGAACTGCATTTGAAAGTTAGCTGTTTGAACATTGTGTTATTTTTTCTAAAGTTTTTTTGGAAACTTCAACTCCTAATTTCAGTTTGCTAAGAACGAGGAGCCTTTCTCAGGGATGTTAATAGTGAATGGCTCCCAGTGCGATCCTCCAGGTTGACTGTGAAGAGTACAGCAGAAATGGTGCAGCTATCACAGTCCAGTCAACACAGGCAAGGAGATTCAGTTCAATGATGTAATTGCGGATTGACCTCACAGTTGATCCCAGCTGTCCCTAACAATTGCTTATGTGTAGTGTAGCTTCAGTGATTTCTGGCTGCAGTACCTTATGTGCTGTCAGGGTGGGCACTGCTACCCTTCCCTCCCCTCCACCCCCAAGATAATATATATTCTTTAATTACTGCTACTGACTTTTTGTCATGTAAAGATGCGATCAATTTTGCCTGCCCACTTTCCTATGCCACCAGCCTCCACTGCTATTTTACATGGTTACCTGCTGATTTGAGTGACTAAGTGGGGGAATCTGACTCTGATACTGAGGAACTCATGTTTGAAAACTGGACCCACAGTATCACTCTCCAGGTTTCCAAACATAGGCTATTGCCTCACTCTTTATTTTTGGAGACTCTTTTCCTCTCCATTTACTCACTTGGAGCTCCTCTCCTGGCAGCAGTTGTCATACCTGCATACTTTTCCCTCAGTAGGGGTGATGAAGAAAGTAATGAATCCTCCTCTAAATCCATAATCTCTCTGTAGGACAGCAGAGAAGGTTTTTCTTGTCTGGGCCTACTACTGCCCTCCTGTTCTGGTTGTCTCTGAGATCATGGACAACATTTCTGTGATGTATGTAACTCCCACTCCTGCTAAGAGAGCGTCACCCTTGATTTGCTAGGGCCCCCTCACCTCAAGAACACCTTATCAAAATTAGATGTGAGAGTTTAGAGTGGTCAATACAGCAGATAGGTACAGACATTGACCAAACTTCCCACCAGGCTCAGTATAGTAAGCACTGGGGGTCAACATTTAAAAAAAAATGGCTGCCTAAAGTTAGGCTTCTCTGACTGTATTTACACCCCTAAATAAAATAGCCTGATTTTAACAATCTTGAGTACCCAGCAGTGACTAAATATGGAATTGGGAACCTAATCCTAGGCATTCATTTTTTGAAAATCTTGTCAAGAACGTTTGTTGACTTGGATCTTCTAGTTATCTCGTTCACCAAAGCCGGCACAGTGTTTAACTCCTGGGTACATTAACAGCTGGTTTTATGTGAGGCAACTGCTTACTTGGCCTCAGCAATGATGCTTTGTCGCACAGGTTAAAATGAAGAATTAAGGAACATCCAGTGGGGATGTTTTAACCCTCCCTACTGGACCCCAACCCGCATCTGACTCTCACGATCACCCTTATAAAACCTCACAAGGAAATGGCTTCTCCCTGCATCATGCCTAACCCTGTAATGTGTACAACAAAGAAGAAGTGCCCATTAAAGAAAAATATGTTAGTCCGTTCATGGGGAAAATAATCCCCCCGATCAGCCTACATTTCAATGATATTAAACAAGAGAATCTCTCAGTAGAGAAGAAATAGTTTGGAAAGACTCCCATTTTACAAATGTTTAGGGATTTGCCATATATACTGCTAGTCACCTTTCACTTCCACTGATTTTTCCAGGATTTTACCAACAATCCCTTCCTGGTGTGGTAAGTGATGTGCTTGTCCTTATTCAGGCAAATTCAGGACTTGTAGTTTCATGGCACCTGCTAAAGGTTATTTTAGGGAGAAGAGTATTTTAAAGGCAACATGTTGGCTTTTCATAAAGGGATTTACTCAAAGATTTCCCCCATTTCAGGTAGGCCATCTGATGCCATGTTTTGGTATTTACACAACAAAGCTAGGGGCTTCTACTAAATGTTTCTGAGAGTGACCCACCACTGCCCCATTATATCCATAACCAAAGAGAAGGAATAGAGATATAAATGAAAAATATAAACAATAAAAAAACATTTTCCTGGTTCTGCTTACCCGCTAAGTACACCGAGAACCAAGTTAAGTACAAAAAATGACCCTATGATGATTAGTGTAACAAAATAGATCCAGGGCCAGTCCCTTCCTATGGCATCATTGACCTGGAAGAGTGGAATGATAATTAGTGAGACAGGCTCAGTTTCTGAGCACTGCAAGGCTCCAGCCAAAGGGATCCCAAGTCACCAGCACCACGGTTTTCAAAGTTTTGCATTTCTGCAGTTTATGATTGAGACCAAGTTGTCTTCTCACCAGTCTAGTTGGAGCTGAATATTTTGGTTGGACTGAGGTTGAATTTCCTCATTAGAGAGTAACACTTTGTTGTGACAGTTATTTTGGCTGATCAAGTTCTAAGTTATTTATTTCAAAACCAATGTAAAAACTTCCTTGGATTCAGAATTTTATTTTGGATGGAGGTGAGTCAGGAAGGAAGGAAGGGATCCGGGTGACTGGGAAGAACCCTGATTATGGAGTCTTGCCCTGCAGCATTGGAAAAAGGACATCAAAAACTGGCAGCTTACCCGCTCAACACACCAAGAACCAGATTTAGAACGAAAAAGGATCCAAAGATGACCAGACTGACAAAATACACCCATGGTAACTCATAGCCCATAGCGTCCTGCATCTGGAAAGACGAAGGAAAGTTAGAAGACAGAAAGAGAAAGCAGAACTGATTAGGTGAAGGAACAGATGGAAAGGTTTGTAAACAGAGCCTCTGGTTATTTACACACAAATGTACCAAATGTTTCTTCTTTATGATGTCTTCACTTCTCTTTCTTCTCCTTTGATTCTTCTGTTCTCTACCTTTTTCCACATAGGTATGACCTTCTGTGGTCCCCTTTATAGAATCAGCTTTTGCCAACACACACCACACATTGTGATCTCAGATAAGAAGTAATTTCTCATTCTAAGTAGAGTGAAAACTGTGGTACCTCAGATAGTAGTAAGTGGTAACTGTTGGCAAATGCTGACTTTTAATGGCAATTTCCTGGTTATTCTCACACTGTTTACCATAGTCATGGCAGTCTCTGTGTCCTTTAGGCCATGTCTATACTACAGCAGCACACCTATGGCTCTGTAGCTGTGCTGCTGTAGCACTGAGGCTCAGATGCTTCACACATCAATGGAAAGGGTTTTCCATCAATGTACCTAATCCATCTCTCCAAGAGGCAGTAGCTAGGTTGCATTCTTCCATTGACCTAGCTGCATCTACATTGGGGGTTAGGGTGACACAACTGCTGTGCTCAGAGTGTGAAATTTTTCACAGACCTACCTACATCATTCAGGGCTATCTAATTTTTAAGCGTAGACCAGGCCTGAGAAGAAAGCCCTGCCACTGCCCACCATTTTCTGATGCTGTAAAGTGCTTTCTAAACTTTTATTACAAAACTTCCTTCTGTCTATAGTGGCCATCCATGCAACCCAGTGATTCCCGCACATGTCAGTCGGAGACCCTGCAACCGAATGGCATGAGTGCAGTTCCAGCTTTGACATGAATGCAGGTGGCTGCAAATAGAGCAGGTTGTTTCAAGCACAATGTCATCTGACACAGAACCGGCAGTATATGGAGAGCAGCCTGCATATCAATTCAGGTACATACAAATACTATATTCAAGGGCTCACCCTTATCTTAAAAGTTTTGTTAGAAATTCATATTTTGGGATGTTCAAGTGAAGATATCTCATAGTTGGATGCATTAATCTAGCCTTACCATTTCATAAACCCTTATCTCCAAGGCAGAGATGGCACCATCAAAGAAATAGACTGTAGGCAAAATTTCCAAAAGCACCAAAGTGTTTTAGCTGGGAGCCTAAGTTCCATATTCAAATGTGCCTACGTCATTTAGGAACCTAAGTCCCACTGACCATGCTTTTGAAAATTTTATGCTGTATAGTATAGAAATTGCTCCTCTTATGGCACCTTAAGCATTTGTTTCTTTCAGGTCATAAAATTCTTCAGTACACAGGCATTCACACATTACCAACTTAGAAAAGATGACTAAGCCACATAACTACTCAGGAAAAGAAATCAAATCTTCAATAGGCAGAGGTAGGAAAGTAATACTTGTTAAGTGAATTCTTTGTAGAAAAAAGTACCTCATCCATATCCCTCTCATTGTACAGTCTTTAAAGTCTCAAATTCATAACTTTCCAACTGTAATCTGATGGACTTTCTTTGGCAATAGTCCACAGTCAATGGGGCAATCTATGTCTCTATGCAGGGATCCCTAAACTGCAGCATAACAGGAAAGAACTCATTAAAAATGAACTCAAAGTCTGTCTCAGTGAAACTATCTCATTGGCCTCTTCCCAAGAGGATTTATAGGTTTTGTGTCTGGAAAAGAGCTCTTGAACTCTCCTTCTCCCTTCACAAGTTCAGGGCTTCCTCTTCCTACCTTCTCTACATTTTCTCTTGAATACATGTGTAGAATTGTTCCGTTATTACATTAGTTTATAAATAATAGAAATAATGTCTTATATTTATGTAGTATCTTTCATCCCAAAGGGTCGGAAGGATTATGCAATAAGAACAAATTATATAGGCTTCACTTCTCCCCCCACTGAAATGCAGTCACTTCTGCAGTGAAACGCAGCAGCTATTTCAAGAGCACAGCAACCCTACACAGGCATTCAGGACAGGAGGAATAAGATAGCCATTTGAAACCACAGAGGGAAATTTGGGTGGAATGTTATTGCCCAACCTGGAATTAAGCCAGGACATCCGAGTTAACACCCCTACTCTTATGAAGAATGGCATGGGATTTTTACTTACTATAAATCAAGTTTTGGAACAATGCCATAAAAATTTACCAGCTTAGGCGCAAAAATGACTTGACATCCCTTAATCATGGTTGAGGATAATGAAAAAACCTAATAGTACGTTACTTACCCATCAAAAAAAATTTACTCAGCCTAAAACAGTGGATGAGTAGAATTTTGCAAGGCTGATTTAAGTGTACGCTAACAGCTATGGGCCAGATTCACAGGTGCATTCTTGGCCTTTGTATTATTTTGGCATGGAGGAGATGTCAGCTCCAACCCCATCCCGGTGTAGGGAATGGAATGGCATGGCCAGAGCATGTTGTACTCAAGACATTCCTAACTAGTGTATGTTCCTTTGGTACTGTTGACCATGGGAGTCAGCACAGAATGACCCTGAGAATCAGGGAGCTGCACATTGGCACTGTAGAATGTCTGCAATTCTGATACTAAGTGATCAGGACCTCAATTTTTCATCTCCTTTACAATGTACAGTCTTATGTATAATGAAAAGGCTGAGTGAAAGCAGCATTAATTTTATAATAATTCATTGGGTGTACAGAAATCACTGGTATTTGGTAAGGAGCTGATCATTATTTACTATGTCTCTTCCTGGGCTCTATCATAGAGCATCTTGCTAAATTATGAGCAGCCTCAATTCTCATTGCCTTCAAGAGGGGAAAGTTTTCCAAACACTGTAGGATTGGGCTGTAAGTGATAGGCAAAAGAAGAAAGAGGTGTTCAGTGACAATACGATACAGTTTCTGTATTGCAGAAATTTGCTAAGACTTGGTGCAATTGTTTAAAATGCTAAAAAGACAGGTACACCTTGCATCCTTTACCTGCCCATGAAGAATGTCTTTTGGGTTTGGGAGAAGGAAGAAGGGAAGGGATGATTATGGACTTTTTGACAGACGGTGGAAAGAAAAATACATACACATGCCCAAAACAACAATGTACTATCATGCAGGAAGGCCTTATATCCTCAGCTAAGACTGCATGTCACCACGTATCTGGGAATTCTTCCTGTAAAGTGGACCTGTCCTGAAAGTCTGGGATAGACTGTGATCAGCTGAACAATGTTACTGTACTTGTATCAAAAAGCACCTTGAATCTGTGCTTGATCCAAAATCTTTCTTGGCTATTTTTCAAAGCTTGGTGAACGTGCAGACATTCATCACAAACATACCCCTTGACAGCGGTTGGAGGCTGTCACTGAAGAACTTACTGGACTGGTACAGTTGGCTTTTGCTAATAATGCTGTTGAAGTGGAGAAGGTCACAGCAGGACTTGAAAGAGATTTACTGTCTATATGCCATTAAGTTTGGAGATTGAGACTCAGGATGTTTTACGTAGCTGCTGTCCAGTGAGAATAGGCAGAGGCAATGCTAAAGGTTACTTCTCCCATTTCTGTTTTACAGCTGTCTGGGCCTTCTGGTTGCAGGGTAAATTTTCCCTTATCTTTCTCCAGGTGAACATTTATTATCAACCAGGAGCCTTAACAGGAAAGGTGGATCATCTACTAACTTTACAGTTCTGCAATGGGACTATTATACTATGTAGGCTGAGTGATTATGCTGTCTGATAGAGGGCACAGGGATTGCAAGCTGGTGTCAGTGAAAGATTGCATGTGATAATACTTCCACCTGACCTCATAACTAACAGCAGGTGGGACCCTACATATGATAGTTTGCAGAAATCATTTCCCATCTCAAAATGCCTACCCTTTCTCAGCTGTCACATCCTCAGATGCATATATTTTACTACTCTCAGGGATCATAAGGTTAGTACATTATTGTACATTAGCTCTGATGTATCATTTGTTAAAAAAGAAAGAGATGGTCTTATGGGTAAGGCACAGAATTGGGGTAAGGAAACATAGAATCTATTCCCAGCTCTGCTGCACTCTCACTAGGTGACCTTGGGAAAGTCACTTCATCTCACCATCGTTTTCCAGTCAGCAAAACAGGCTATTAACATAACTCAAAGAGGTACTAAGAGATTAAATGAATGTTTGTAAAGGGCTATGGCAGTGCAAAGCACTATTGCTATTAGTGAGACTCTGTGGGAAGTTATACATGGGTTATCTTTTTGCAAAATCTAGAGAATAGCTGGATACTTTGGGAATAATTTTGACTACTCTGCATATCAGTCAACATATTATGCAAGTATTACAGAATTCCACACAACCCCGTATTCCAGATTGACGTTTCTTTCATAATTATCTTTCTGAGGTGAGGTAAGTCTCACATTCTACTGGGTGCAACTCAAGTCCCTTGTTCTAAGCAAACGTCGGGTCATTCTTCCCCCCAGGAGTGAAATAAACAACACTGTTTATATTGGCG